ACCGAATCGTCCCGAATAGTCCCGAATACCGAACCGAACCGAAAAATAAAATCTCCGAATCGAACCGAATCGACTTTTTGGTACGATTCTGGAGATAGAATTTTTGGGATCTCCGAATTTTGGTACGGTTCTGGAGATTTATCAATCTCCAAACCGTACCGACCCACGCTCACCCCTACCTGGTGTAGCTGAGCATATGAATCGAATGTTGACTGAAAGATCCAGAAGCTTGCGTGGGCAGTCAGGCCTACCAAAGTAGTTCTGGGCAGAAACAGTCAACACAACAACTTACTTGATCAACCGAAGTTCATCGGTACCATTGGATCACAAGTTACCAGAAGAGGCATGAAGCGAAAAAGAAGTAAAACTCTCGCATCTTAGAGTTTTTGGGTGTGTAGCATATGTGCACATTGGTGACCAAGGTAGAAGCAAACTTGATCCAAAATCAAAGAAATGCATTTTCCTTGGTTATGGTGAAGATGGGTTTGGCTACCGCATATGGGATGATGAAAACAAAAGGATGATCCGCAGCAGAGATGTCATCTTTAATGAAAGAGTGATGTACAAGGACCGACATAACATAAGTGCCAGCAACTCAGAAGCGAGTGGGCCAGTTTATGCTGAGGTGGAAGATATCCCAGACATTCCTATAATAAGGAATCCTTGGTCAGAGGAATCAAATGAAGAAAGCGATGAGCAATCAGAACCTTGTACTCCAACTTATGTATTGAGAAGGTCCTATCGACCCCATGTGCCTAACAGGAGATACATGGACTACATGTTGTTGACTGATGGAGGAGAACCTGAAGATTATAAAGAGGCTTTTCAAACCACAAAGCTTTTCATGAAGGATGAGATGAAGTATTTGATCTCAAATCAGACATGGCAACTAGTTAACTTACCCATGGGAAAGAAAACACTTCACAACAAATGGGTGAATCGAGTGAACGAAGACCATGATGGTTCCAGGAGATATAAAACCAGACTGGTTGTAGGATTTCAGCAGAAAGAAGGAGTTGACTATACTGAAATCTTTGCTCCAGTTGTAAAGCTCAATACTATCAGGAATGTGTTAAGTATTGTGGTTAGTGAAGAGCTCTAACTAGAGCAATTAGACGTGAAGACTGCATTTCTTCATGGATATCTTGATGAGGATATCTATATGTACCATCCTGAAAGTTTTTCATAAGGAAAGAAAGATATAGTGTGCAAATTAAAGAAGAGCTTGTACGACCTGAAACAAGCTCCAAGACAATGGGATAGTAAGTTTGAAAGCTTCATCCACAAGGAAAGTTTCCAGAAGTGCAATGTTGATCAATGTTGTTTCTTTATGAAGTATGAGTCCAACTATATCATCTTGCTACTTTATGTCGATGACATAATAGCGGGATCATGTATGAAAGATATCAGAAAATTAAAGATGCAGTTGTCAAAAGAATTTGACATGAAGGACTTAGGCCCAGCAAAGAAAATTCTTGGAATGCAAATCACGAGAGATAAGAAAATGGAGTTTTGCAGTTATCTCAAACAGAGTACATCAATCGTGTTTTGTAGAGATGTAACATGGATAAGGTTAATCCAGTCAGTACACCTTGCCAGTCATTTAGTCTATCCAAGGATCAATCTTCTCAAAAAAATGAAGAAGAAGAGTACATGACTAAAATTCCTTATGCTTCAGCCATTGGAAGTTTGATGAACGCGATGGTTTGTACGAGGCTAGACATTGGCCATGCAGTGGGAGTTGTTAGCAGGTTTATGTCAAATCTAGAAAAAGCTTATTGAGAAGCAGTCAAATGGATTTTGAGATATCTACGGGGCACAACGGAAAAATGTTTGCATTTTAGAAAATGAGATCTAAAATTACAGGGTTACGTAGATGCAGATTTCGGAGGTGAAGTTGATCATTGGATAAGCACCACCGGTTGTGTTCTCACTATAGGAGCTACAGCTGTTAGTTGGATGTCACGGATACAAAAAATTGTTGCTTTATACAGAAAGGATATGGCTTCAAGGATTGTTAGCAGAGTTGGGTTTCACTAAAAAAAATTGTCATGCATAGTGACAGTAAGAGTGCAATACATCTGGCAAAGAACATAGTTTTTCACTCCAGAACTAAGATCATTGGCATACGATATCAGTTCATCAGATCTCTTCTTGAGGATGAAGTGTTGACTTTGAAGAAGATTGTAGGAAGCAAGAACCCGAGAAATATGCTAATGAAGGGGGTGACCATTGACAAACTGAAGTTGTGCTCAACTTCAGTTGGCTTACTAGAATAACAGACCGGAGAAGACTACTGCAGTAATTGAGGTGTGAGGACATATTGAAATCAGTCCTCAAGTGGGAGATTGTTGAAAGTTATGTGAGGTGCCATATTTGACCAAGCATTAAACACATGTAAGTTGTTGTTTTTTACAATGGAATGCAATTCAGATTGCACTCTTCCTCTATAAATAGTGGAGCAAACTTGATGAACATAACACACCAAAGTTTAAGAAAAAGAAAGAGAGTGAACAAGAAAAAGAGTTTAGATTTTGGGTGTATTGCGAGTGAGTTTGAGAGTTTTTTGTAAAATGAATGTATTTTATTTCTCCTAATAAAATATCTGCAGTAGTCAGGAGACGTAGGCATTATTGACCGAACTCCGTTATCAATTAGGTGTGTCTAATTTTTCGCTTTTATTTCACTTTTACAGATCCGACTTCAAGGAAAATTCAGCGTATTTTTATTCCTAACATCCTGGAATTCTCCCCGCGCCCGCGTCCACCGTGTATGCGCTTGACCGGCACGATCATCATCATCTCGTCCTTGCGGTAGAGCCCTACCATCTCGTATCTCTTGATCTTCATCTACCACGCCCAATCTCGTCCTTGCGGTAAGGACCTACCATCTCGCCCTTCATCATCTCGTATCTCTTGATTTTCATCTACCACGCCTAATCTCGTCCTTGCGGTAGGGCCCTACCATCTCGCCTTTCATCATCTCGTATCTCTTGATCTTCATCTACCACGCCCAATCTCGTCCTTGCGGTAGGGCCCTACCATCTTGCCCTTCATCATCTCGTATCTCTTGATCTTCATCTACCACGTCCTCCTTGGACCAACCGGTCGAGCTTCGTCCGCCCCATTTCTGTTTGTATTTGTTTCGGCTGGCGTGGCACAACCCTCGACCGCGTCATCTCATATAACAGTCGCGTCCACGGCCGCCGTCGAAGCCGCCCCTGAACCCAACCCTTTTTCCGCCTCTTTGAGTGGCCGATATTCTCTTGTGGTTCTGTAAGGATGTGATGCGAAGAAGAAATGAAAGCGCCGAGTGAATGAAAAATTCATCTGAGAAAAATAAATAAGACAAAATATGGATGGAGGAGAGAGTGGGAAAATTGATGCAATCATATAAAAGTAGAAATCGGTTTTTACAATACCCATTAAATTCGGCTAATCCATAAATAAATATAATCCCCCTATATATTAATCCAGAACACGCTGAGCCTACGTGACTGCTTCTGGTGTTTCGGAATCATATGTGGCAAAATTACATGCTTCGTTATTAGGCTTGGGTAAATTTTAATTTAATTCTAACAATAAATAATTAGGTTCGGATTACCATAAATATGTTGATTATTTATGGTAATGTTACATGTATTAATGGTATTTTAATATCATTCATTATTATAAATATTGAATTGTATATATTTTAAAAGTTAACAACTTTTGTATTTTTCATCAGTTTTACATATGTAATATATCAAATTAATCTTCTTTTGATGAGCTTCGATTTAATATTCATATTTAATGTATAAAAAAATAATTTATATTTATCTTTATAACAATAATAAAATTATTTTTAATATTAATTAGAAAAATAAAATTATTTATCAACTAATATATTTATATTTCAAGTAGTTATATGATATAAGTTATAAAAACTAATATAATATAACACAAGTAAGTCATAAGTAACATATATCATTCTAAAATATACAATAATATATTTTTTTTGTAAAAAAGTAAATTAAATTAAATATATTTTTCTCATTAATTTTAAAATTTTGAGAATAATTTTTGGACAAGCACCCGTGTAATACACGGGTGTTGTACTAGTTATATGTTAATTAAGAATCTAGTATTTATGCATGTAAAAGGGATAACTAGTTTTTTTTTTTTTTTTTTTTTTTTCCCAAAAATTATGTATAAGGTGTAAATCTATCTAAATATAAAAAGGTTGTTGTTTAAATCCTTTTTGAAAAGTTTTGACCAAATAAATAATACATTTGACATTCTATTTATAGAAAGCATGAAAACAACTAAAAGACACATAGATTAATATCACAGTTTGAATTAAAAATTAATGGTGTAGAGAGAATATAGGAACAATAATTTGTTAATAACTCATGATCGCAAAAAAATACGAGGAAAAGGAGATTCCACCTGCTACGTGAAAAGAAGAAATATGACAAAAATAGAAAATGTCTGTGCCTTCATAAACGCATAATCAAAGTTATATGGATTTATAGAAAATAAATTATAATTATTTACATGTAAATCTTTTGTATTTTCTTTTTGTGTTTTTCTTTTCTGATTAACTTTTTCCATTTTTCTACTCTAATTATTTAATAATTTTGTCATCTTCTTTTATAAATTTTTATTTTGTTCTTTTAACTTATATTTGCCTTTAATTTTTTTTTCCGCAATTATTTTGTATCTTAATATGTTCGTTCAATAAGACTACGTGTTCATCATTTATACATGCTTCCAATTAGCTTATTTATTCAAAATGTCCAGAAGAGGTTGACATCATATTAATCACTTAAAAGTAATGACATCATATTAATCACTTAAAAGTAATAATCACTTAAAAAGTTTAAAATAAACCGTTTGGTGGGAGCAATTGATCCTTTGAACCTCAACAAACCGTTTGGTGGGAAGCCGGTTCTTTTTTGTGGAGATTTTCAACAAATCCATCATGTCAATCCAAATGGTAGCCGTCAGCACATAGTCAGTGCTGCCATTAATGCTTTTGACATATGGAGGAGTTATATTGTGCTTAGGCTTATGAAAAACATGCGTCTTCAAGGACTTGGTAATTCGGATGAACGTGATGATCTTGCGCGGTTTGCAGATTGGATAGTCAACATCGGAGATGGAACTATCGGGGGGTCGAATGATGGATGTGCACTTATAGACATACCTGAAGATATTTTGCTCGTTGAAAGCACATATCCAATGTATAAGGAGGCGCCTGACGATCCAAGTTATTTGAAGGATAGGGCTATATTAGCGCCGACGTTGGATGTGGTCGAGTCTATCAATGAGTACATGACATCATTGAATTTGTTGGATGGTCGTATGTACTTGAGCTCTGATAGTACGTGCAAATCGGATTCTAATAATTATTTTTTGTCTGATCTCCATACGCATGAGTTTTTTAATAGTATCAAGTGTTCCGGAATACCGAACCATGAGTTGTATTTGAAGATTGGAACTCCAGCCATGTTGTTGCGGAATATGGATCATTCTATGGGTTTGTGTAATGAGACACGATTGGTTGTGACTAGGGGTGAGCGTGGGTCGGTACGGTTCGGAGATTGATAAATCTCCAGAACCGTACCAAACTTTGGAGATCCCAAAATTCGATCTGTGGAACCGTACCAAAAGGTCGGTTCGGTTCGATTCGGAGATTTTTTTTTCGGTTCGGTTCGGTATTCGAGACTATTGGGGCGGTTCGGTTCGGTATGGTTTGGTTCGGATCTTCGGAGATTTTTTATTTTTTTAAATTATTTTTGAATGACTACCTAGTTATATTTTAATTTTTATATGTATTAAAAAAACAACATTCATCAATAATTCATCATATTGAAGATTTTATTTTGAAATCAATTCTAGAAGTAACTCTAAATTCTAGTTATTCAATTTTTATATGCTTTAATAAACCAACATTCATCAGTACTTCCTCACATTAAATATTTTATTTTGAAATCAACTTTATAAGTAACTCTAAATTTTAGTTATAACTAAAATTGTGCAACTAATATTGAAAATTTAAAATTTAAATAAAATATTATTTTTTTTCTTAAAAAAATATTCTTTAAACTTTCATATTATTTTAATTAATTATTTTATAATAGAAAAAATTCAATTGTAGATCAAGTATTAGTAAGCATGAAATTTAAGTGAAGGTTAATATTTATTACTATATTATATAGAATAATGTTGACATAAAATATATTAATAAAACATCTAATTTTATAATTCGGTTCTTAATTTCGGTTCTTCGGTTCGGTACAGTACGAGACGATTCGGTTCGGTTCTCGGTACGGATATTTGTGAAATCTCCAGAACCGTNAATTATTTTTTCGGTTCGGTTCGGAGAAAGTTAAACGGTCAACGGTTATTTTTCGGTTCGGAGTAATTTCGATTCAGTTTTTGAAACAGTTCGGAATTCTCCGAGTCCCATGCTCAGCCCTAGTCGTGACAAAACTATCCACTCATGTTCTTGAGTGTAAGATAGGGGTGTTCACGGTCCGATTTTAACCCAAAAAAATCATCAATCCGGACCGCGGATCGGTTAAATGGTCGGTTAAAAAAGCCTTAAAAATTCGGTGGTTAATTTTTTAAAAAATCCAGAATAACCGGTCCGGTTAACGGATTACCTGCGCCAAACCGCCGGTTTAACCGGACCGGACCGGTAAATATTAAAAAACTATAACAAATATATATACATTCAGTCATTCATTATAACCGACAAATATAATACATTCGCTTTCACTTTTTGGCATTTTCATGACTTAATTTTGGAAGACACTATAGCTTTTCACTTTTTCCCACCTTGCTTGGGTTACGTTTGCATAATTTAATCTTCATCATTTTTGTATTTTTATATTTATGAGACGAAATGTATATTTTTATGCTTATGGGACGAAATATGTATTTTTTATTTCATTATTGTTGTTTTTCTTAATTTTTAGACCCAAACAATCTCTTTTGGGCCCAAAATTGAATAATAAAAATTAAGCACAAAATGAAAAAATTAAAAATTGAAGGCCCCAAACAAGGATTTTGGATTTAACCAGTTAACCGCCAAACTGGACCGCATGCGGTCCAGATTGTGGCCGGTTAAAAAATAAAACCGGTCCGGTTATGGACAAGAAAAAAAATAACCGTTAGGTCCGATTTGGTCATGGTTTGGGCTAAAACCGGACTAATCCGGACCGTGAACACCCCTAGTGTAAGATACTCACAAGAGATCATGTTGTAGATAAGGTGTTGATTCCAAGAATGGTCATAACTCCTTCTGATGTTAGAATTCCTTTCAAGTTCCAACAGTGACAGTCTCCCATTATGGTTTCTTACGCCATGACTATAAACAAGAGTCAAGGACAATCCTTATCTCATGTTGGCTTATTTCTTAAGAAACTAGTGTTCAGCCATAGTCAGTTATATGTTGTTGTCTCCCGTGTCCCTAACCGAAAAGGTTTGAAAATCTTAATTTGTGGCGAAGATGACGTGCCAAAGAATCAAAGCAATAACGTTGTATATAGAGAAGTGTTCAATAATATATGATCTTTTCAGTTTAATTATATTTTTATATGTCTATTCTTATGATCATGATCATTGCGTTATTACACTATTTATATTACAAAATTGCCTTCTAAAAAACTCACAACTCATTATATCCCCGTGCATCGCACGGGTGATTAGTAGTGTATAATAAAAAGGTGTACCAAATAATTTTCTCTAATACAATTACCTGCCTCTCATTAGCGTTTGAACTTATGATCAGGTGATATATGTTTATTATTATTTATTTATTTATTTATTTTGTTATATAGAATTCAATGGAAAACAAATGACAAAAGTATGGGTGACAGTGATAGACAACTATTCCCATTTCTTTTCATAAATAAATAATTAAAGAAAAAGAAAGAATTTAATAGAAAAAAAAGTTTATTATTACAATTAAGAATCTAATAACACTCGTGTATGCATAGCATAACATACGTTTTCTTTTGATTATTATTTTAATTACTGTCTGATGTTGAAGTCAATGCATAGCAACCTTAAGAATCCAAAGCTCTGACTTTTGAGCCTTTTACTTTGTCAACAGCA